GACACCGTCGGTACGGGACAAGTTGCAAGCCGAATCCAAAACTCTCAAACATGCTTTAACCCATTTCCCTAAAAATAGATACTGTGAAGTTTGCCGTAGGGCCAAAATGACAGCTAGGTACCACAGAAAAAGGGACCTTGAGGTAGACCCGGAAGAGGCTCCACCACTGCATTATGGCCATCAACTTCGTGCGGACCACATAATCTTGGGGGAAGATCTAACAAAAGGGTCAGAGGGGGAAAGGGCATGTCTTGTTTGTTACGATGAGTACAGTGGGGCTTTGCAGGGGTTCCCTCAAACAAATAGAACCACTGATGCTAACATCGCGGCACTGCAAAAGTTCGGCGGGACAAGAGCGCATGGCAAAGCCTTGTGCAACGTCAAAACTGACTGCGCCACAGAATTGGTCGAAGCGGTTAAATATCTGGGTTGGTTACCTGATCCGGGAATCCCAAATGATGATTACCATAATGCCAAACTAGAACGCATCATTAGATCCATCAAAGAAGGTGTGAGGTCAATCCACCTTAAGGCAGGTTTTTCTCATGACTTGTGGCCCAGAAGTGTTGAATACTTCTGCGTAGCACGTAGCTTTAGCACTCTTGCGCCAATACACCCTAATGAAAAGGATGAGGTCAAGACGGAAAAGTCCATGCTTACATGCTATGAAGCTGCAAATGGCGGTTCGCCATTCACAGGCCTGAGAATTCCGTTGGGTGCCTTGGTCTATTATAAACCCCCGAAACATAGAGAATTGCCAGCGTTTAGCCCAAGAACTTTTCCTGGTATATTCGTGGGATGGAGGGTTGATGCGGGGTTTGTGCATAGAAATGTTCATCTAGTCCTGAACTATGAAAACCTCCGAACAAAATCAAAAGGGTTTGGCCGACCTATCCAAGTGTATTCCACAGAGTTGGTTGAACCATCCGAAGGGAACTTTATTTTTCCTCTGTATGAAGCATCGGTTGCAAAGTTGAATCTGTTTCAACCTTCAGTCAAGTTGCCATCCATTGCCGAGCGAGAAGCCTTGCCTTTCGAAGGGCCAGCCCCGCCTCCAGCTGTTCGCAAACGTAAGACGTATGTGACACTGGAACGTGCAATTAAGTATGGTAAAACAATTGGGTGTAAGGGTTGTGACCGTATTGCTGAGGGAGTTCCTCACTCAGATGCTTGCCATGAAAGGTTTCGCACTCTGTTGCAAGAGGATCGTATGGCCAAAGAAGCCTCCGCCAGGGGAATTTCAGTTCCTGATACGCCTGCACCAGACACGCCAGTTGGAGCACCAAGAACTCCAGCAATGCCGTCAGCTGAGCAGGGTGTGAGTCGCACTTGTGCGCCACATCCACAAAACTCCTTGGAAGTCGAAGCATTCTTTGCCAGTTGCCACGCCGCACCAGGGGTGCAAGACCATGGGAGGAGCTCAGATGATAGTAACCCTGGGGATTTTTGGGAATATGATGATCTTAAGTCAGCATGGAAAATGAATCATGTTAGACCCCGAAAAAGACTCTATGCTCCTGTAGGCAAGGACTGCCCTTTCAGTGCAGATGAAATCGGTCCACAACGTGTCACAGAATGGAAATGCAAAGGTGTTGTTTCGGTTTATAAAGATAATTGGCAAGTACATCCACACCAAAGGATTTCATCTAAAAGTTGGATTGGGGCGACATGGTTTTTCCCAAATAAAAGGGTAGACTATGATCATGCAAAAGTAAAAGCATGCCAAGCCAACATAGCCAGATCCGATGGAACCTCCAAAAGGTTCGCCAAAAGGAGTGAGCATTTCTTAGCTAGTGCCAGCCTGGATCACCCGAGTCTTGCTGCTGAAATCCAGCAGGCTGCCAAAGGTGTAGAACAGGTTAAGCCGTCCGAAGCTAGAAAAGCCAGAGGGTCAAACTCCAAAGTCATGTTTGAATTTTGTTGTTCTGAAGACTCCGCACTCGGCAAAGCCAACGAGGAAAGAAACATCGAACACTTCCGTTTGACAGAAAAGTCTTCAGACATGGCAGATGATGAAGAAGTACAAGACTTGCTGAAAGTCATGAAGTTGTTCCCAGGAGCAGACCTTTGGGGTTCAATTCCTTGCGGCCCTTGGTCCCGCTGGCAGGACGTGAATCTTGCAAAAGGTGGTAAAGGGTATGCAAAGAGGCTCAAAGCCGCACGTAAGAAGTCCATAAAAATCCTGAAAAACTACATTCGCTGCGCAGAGCAGGTTTTGCTAGATGGAGGACATGTGTGCTTTGAGTGGCCCAGAGGATGCTCTGGCTGGTCAATTCCAGAGCTTGTGAAGTTCATTAAGAAGCATGATTTGTTTGTCGCCGAGCCGGACGGATGTGCATTCGGTTTAAAGGATAATGAGGGGAACCCCCATTATAAACCTTGGAGGATTGTAACAAGTTCGTATCAGTTGGCAAGAAACCTTGATGCGTACAAATGCAGTCATCCACCGGATTTCAAGCATTCGCACCTGGCAGGTTCCAAAACACCCAAATCTGCATTCTATACTGATGAAATGGCACAATGCATTAGTCATTCCTTGTACCCCGAGATAGTACCTTCAATGCCTGTTAAACCCATGCAGCCAGAACCACATCACCAGCCGACAGCAGTTGAAGTTGATGCAGGTATCCACCTCCTGATCGACAAGAAGGACTGGCACAAGCATGAAGGTTATCTTGATGCAATCAAGAAAGAACGGGATGGTGTCTTGGAGAATGGTACTTGGAACTATGATGAAGTAGTGCCTAGAGACGAGCTCATGAAACGCAAAGAGCACATCAATATAGGTAGAATCATGACAATTCTCTCAGTCAAACATTGGGAAACCCCAGCTCTTAGGAAGCTTAAAGCCCGTATAGTGTTTAGAGGGGATGACATAAGGGACAATGAAGGAAATCTTGCGGTTTTGTTGGAATCAAAAGTGAACCCTACGGGTATGGCTGGCATCAATGCCAACCTTGCTTATGGAAGTTTACCAGGCCACAAAACAACGCAATCAGATGTTGTCCGTGCTTACCTTCAATCATGGTTGGGAACAAAAGTACCAACTTGGGTAGAGCTAAGTCCTGAACTGGTTCCTGATGAGTTCAAACATATCAAGCGACCATGTGTCAGACTATGGCGGTCGTTGTATGGCCATCCAGAGGCAGGACATCATTGGGATATGAGGTTTAGAGAAGTCATGACATACTTTGATGCAAAACATATCGATACCTTCCAAAGTAACTTCTGGATCCCAAAATATAAACTTCTGTTGAGTCTTTACGTAGACGATGTAGTGGTATCAGGACCCTCATCACAGCATAAGCTCTTTTGGGATGAAATGCAGCGCCACTTGGAGCTGGATGAACCAGCTGAAGTCAGCCGAATTCTCGGCCGAGAGCATAGCATTTCAAGAAGCAAGGAAGGAACAACTTGTGCCTTCGAAATGACCGAATTCATTGATAACTGTTGTGAACTGTATGAGACGCTTAGCAAACGTAAGCTAAAGCCAGCAGCCTCACCATATGTCAATGATGGGAGTTTAACTGATTCCGATTGGGATGTAAAGGGTTCATTGTCAGCAGAAGCATCTCGCATACTAATGAAAGTCTTGTGGTGTGCCAGATTGGCAAGGCCTGATCTCAATAAAGCTATCTCAGATCTTACACGTAGACTGACGTGTTGGAGTGTCGCAGATGATAAGCGCCTCCATAGATTAATGAGTTACCTTTATGGATCTAGAAAGTTTACTCTCAAAGGTTATATAAGGGACCCACCAGAGTTGTTGCGTTTGTGTTGTTACACGGATGCCGATCACTGTTCTGCACAAGAAGATACTAAATCAACAAGCGGCATGATCATGACGTTGGAAGGTCCACATTCATGGTGGCCACTCTCATGGGCTAGCCGCAAGCAGACGTCAACTGCACGCAGCACAACAGAAGCCGAAATGGTGTCGCTAGGTGCAGGTTTGTTTCTTGAAGCGCTGCCAATGCAAGAGCTCTTAGAGACGATTCTTGGTAGACAGGTTGAACTTGTGTGTTATCAAGATAACTCCGCGGTTATCCAAATTGTTGCTGCCGGGTATAGTCCCAAACTCCGACACCTCAATAAGACTTTCCGCATAAATATAGGTTCAATCCATGAAGTCTTCAAAGAAAATGACGATTGCCTGTTGCTCTACATCAAGACTGCAATGCAAAGAGCTGATCCGTTCACCAAGCCACTCCCGGTGGCAAAATGGCCGGAAGCTTTGCAACAACTAAATGTCCAGGTATCTACGTAGTCCATAATCTTCCTGTAGGTTGCCTTATGTACAGCCAGTCTGTCTTGTCTGTCTGATGCAAGGATGAGATGTTTTGATCTGCCATCTACAGAGCCATTGGGAGTGAGATGCACTTGTGCACCGCAACCATTGGAGTTCTCTGTGGCAGCCAGGTCATCACACCATCCAAGTCTGTACAGGTGTCCAACGCCAAAAGGGGGAGAAGAAAGATTACGAATAATATGCCTCCTCACGTAGTGCAGTGTAGTGCAATGTAGTATCACCAACAAATGCTTCCATAGCAATCAATGTAGACTGGAATTCATAACCAATGCATGCGGTCATGTTAAAGTACACTAGACCCAGGAATCCAGTTTGCTCGAACTGACATTAATACATGTCCACTTGTTTTAACTAATTCAGTCATATGCCAAACATCCAGTGGTCCAGGTCTACAAATGTATACCATGGCCAACTGTTTGGCTCAAGATCGCATTGCCCGAGGTAAAAGGGTTTACGTGGTTGAGCCAACTGATTCTTTGAGAATCTTTTTAAACTATAGATATATCTACCATCTACCATAAGTCCTACAGTCTTTAGTCTTTAGAACCATAAAAGAGATAAGTAGAACTATCTACAAGTAACTAGGACTTATGATAGATAGTCTAGGACTAGTATAGGTATACAACCAATATAGATAGTCAGTTCATTTATAGTCAACTTAGAGATTCTCCAGAGCTCTAAACCAACTCAGGATTCAGGCGTGGCTCCATCTGGCTGCCTCCCAGAAAGCTCTTCTTCAAAGGCGACCCATTTGATTTTGGGAGGGTCTTGGCTGATTTTGGGGACTGTATAGCCATCGAATATGATATGATGTTTGGGTTTGTTTGAACATCGTGAAACACGTGCATGGGGGTCGTCACATGGGAAGATCATGTAGAAATTGTGATTTAATTTCCAATATACTTCCTATAATATGATATTGGGTCGCGTTCAAAAAATGAGTTGTACCCAGATGAGCATGTCTTTGGCCAAAATGATGAGGTTATTTTCAAACTAAGTTTTACACATATTAAGGTTTTGTTTTGATTATAACATAGCTGACATTGGCCATATATGTTTACTATTTATAAACCAGGTGCCTTTATGTGATGATGATCATCCCAGTCTGCAACACACAGCCAGGCAAAGTTTACGGCGAGATCCTGTCTGGGGGCAAGAACCCCACTGTGAGCATCCGGGAAAATTTGCTGTTCTATGGCGCTGGCGTAGCGCTACTTCTGGCGCACCTTGGCTGCGGGGGGGTTCAAATGCACTGCATGACATTTACAGAAGAGAATATGTACAGTATAGATGGACGGATTGGTTGATTGGATGAGATGAGATTAGATTAGATTGGTTTAGATTAGATTAGATTAGATTAGATTAGAGAGAAAGAGAGAAAGAAAGATAGATAGATAGATAGATAGATGGATGGATGGATGGAAAGAAAGATAGAAAGATAAGTAGATAGGTAGATTGATAGATTCATTTGGGTGGATTGGGTTGCCATACTCTCCAGTTTGTTTATTATTATTATTATTAAATGTAGATGGATGCACCATGCCATTATTCCTGCCGAAGGTGCGGCTTTAAGCAGGGGATCAACCAGCTACCTAGGGACCGGGACGCTAAAATGACCCTATTTGCCAACCAGTAAACTTAAAGCAACTGCTTCAACCCGTATACACTTGGGTTACTTGGGAAGTACATCAATGCCATTTTGCTTCGAATTGTTGATGAACCTCAGATTCGAGTGTCGCTTGAAACATGTTGGAACTTAACATGTGTCAACTACTGGTACACCCTAAAAGCATCTAAGAGCAAACTTGTTGACAAATCGCAAAGTTAGTACTATTTTAAACTTGCATTGTTGCTGCTTATATTCCTTTTTTGTTGCTGAAACAACAATTTTCCGAGTTGAATTCGGTGATTGTTTCATTAAACTTCAGGGATGAAACATGTTGAACTTCTGTTTCTGTCTGAAAACCTACCTCTTTTTTAAAATACATTTTAATACATGTTTATATCTCTGTCTATAACCTCTGTTGAACCGCTTTCAAACTGTTGGTTGAAGCTCTGTCAAACTGCCTTTTTGAGGTTCATTTGGGGCCCTGTGTCCCTGGTTGCCCTCGTTTTCCTAGCGCTGCGCGATGTGTCGATCGCCGTGGGGACATGGACCTGTGAGAGATTGCTGGGAGAAGCTGGTCACGGGAGCCGCGAGTGTCGTGCTGGGCGGTCTTTAATGGTTAATCATGGTTAATAGGGTATAAACCAACAACAATGGGAATATGGGGATGTATAACCAACAATAAACTGGTTAATAATTGTGGTTAATAATTATTAATAATGGGGTTACCCTCTGGTACACGTTTACATAACTATGGACAATCACCATGGTTAATGGGTAAATCAACTTTCTATGGCCATTTTCAACAGCTATGTAACCAATTACCAGAGGGTTTGTTTCCTTGTGAAGACACAAGCACCAGAGACCAACTTTTGCTGGGTTTTGCTGGGTCTAATCACAATTGAATGGACACGTTTCACGGGTTGTAACATGTTTTGAGACATTGAACTATTGATAATTGTGTGTTCTCCAACAACTTTTGTTGGGGTTTTGTGATTTGTTTATGTTCATCTGAACATGGGATTCCATTGTGGGTAATGATCAGAAGTAAATGTCAATCAGTTTTTTTCTGCCAAAACCACAATCAATACTTAGTTTCCTATGTTTCCTGAAGACGAGAGTTGATGATGATCCCCAGTTTTTCGAAAATCTCTCCTGGTGTTTTAGAAAAACTGGTGATGTTCTGCTGCTACACTGCACGATGTGTCGGTGCAAAGGTGACCCACCAATTCGAACCCAGTGAGGATTGACCGGTGATGTCTCGCAATTTTCTCTGGAAGGATTGTCATGTAAATAGGGAACGATCGTTTTCACAGGAATATGAACTCCTTCGTTCGGGAGTCTTAACAACTAGATGCTAAGATATGTACAGATATGTTATATACAATGACAATGTATACCAAAAAAGTACGCGAAAAGCATAGAAAAGCGGTGGGTGAATGGTTGGTTTTGATTCATTACCTTTCCATCTTGGAGTTTACCCTTTCTAAAAACACTATCTAGGGCCAGGGTTATGTGGCTCTTCAGCCAACCCAAGCTTCTTTGGGAAGGTGCTGGTGCCCACTCAGTCATGTCAACCAGCTGACACATTGCTGCCATGAACACCTTGATAAAATCGACTGATCAAAGTAGCAGCATGATCATTTTTTGGTTCACGTCAGCTCAGATCTCATGCTTTTTTTATTTAAGCCACTTAAAAATCTTAAAAGACGTGGACATTCCCGTCATATTTCCCCATGTTCCATATTTAAAAGTCATGTTTCAACAGGCGAGTTCCAGCTGGGGCTATACCTTGGTTGGATTCCCGATAAAAAAAATCGATGGCTTATCAATTTGTCCATCAGAGTAGGAACTGCGCATCACTTTGTAGCAACCTTCAATTTCAGATAGAACAGTTTCAATCAGTTTCAATCAGTTTCAATCAGTTTCAATATCTCACTACTTGGACTTTACATGACTTTACCCATTTTTTGGGGGGGCTACATGGAGGCTCCATGGAGCTTTCCGGTAAATCATGGTGGTACCCCCATGACGGCCGTTGAGCCGCTTGAGCCCGAGGATCCGGACACTGAGCCACTGCCACCCGTGACACTGAAGGGTGATGAGCCGAAGAAGTGGCTTTGAGTAGGCTGATGACCTGCTTGATGACCTGCATAAAAATGATCTGATATGTATATATATATATATGATATATATGTGATATATATATATATGTGATATATCTATATGACAAGATGTATAACTATATTTGTATATATATATGCCGATATACCATGTATATGCATGTATATTTGTAGATATCATGTATGTGTATTTTATATATACAAATGAAGCATATAGCGATACTGTGTGTTGGATTATTTGCGTACATTTTATATTTAGACATATAGAAAATATAGATTTACACATACATAGATAGACAGGTGGACGGACAGACAGACAGACAGACCGATCGATGGATTGATAAACTAGATAGATTAGATAGACCTTAGATAGATCAGATAGACTCAATAGATTAGCTTGATTAGAGTGATTAGACAGATTAGACAGATTAATTAGACAGATTAGACAGATTAGATAGATTAGAGAGATTAGATAGATTAGACAGATTAGATAGATTAGATCAATTAGATAGATAGATTAGATCATTTAGTTAGATAGATAGATAGATAGATAGATTTGTAGACAAATAGATAGATCGATCGATAGATAGATAGACAGATCATCGATTCACATATGTACATCTAGATATATAATAAGTGTGTGTATTTTTTATAGTGGATTGTATTTGATTTGATTTGATTGTCTAGAGATTTAGTGAAGTTGATGTACAGATCAGCGAAAACAAGGACAAAAAGCTTGATTTGCTCGTTGAGATTGTCCCAGTTGGATTCGCTGAATGGTGAGTGGCCAAAGTTTGAAACGAACCTCACGGAACATTTTAAAACAATTCAGATCCTAACTAAATTTCATACCAAGTGGTGTATCCATTGTGTATCCTATCTATCCAATGGCATAGCTTTGGGGACGATCCCTACTAAAATTCATCCAGCCAGCCACCAGCCATCGACGGGACGCTTCCTCACGGGATGATGGACATCACCTGAAAAAGTAGCCATGAAATAGACCATATACCATTCATGGTTGGGTGATGTGAAAAATGGGGACATCAGTCATGACCCATGATCTTTCAGTATCTTTCTTACATTTAGTTTTTCCCTATTTGGTGTATTCAGAATTAGCCACACAACGATTCCCGGATTGTAAAAAAAACCTGCGAAAAATCCGCGCGGGCGGCTTAACAGAAAACCAACCTTTTCTTGGAATGACACGAAACAACTGCAACAGCTGAGTAAGATACAAGTAGGATTTTCTTCACAAGTCTGATGGGATTGGGCATGGCATTTGCTGTTTGGCCATTGTTGCCCAACACAAGGTCTATGATGGTCTATGTAATTTAATGCTGTGCAACCGATCCCAAAAAAACTCCAACCGGATTGATTACTCTTTGGGATGCATATCCCTCGTTAGTAAGTGGGCATATGGCCATTCTGAATCATGATTACAGGGTTTATATCCCAAGTCATGTGGGTTGATAGCATTTTTATAACATTGTTTTAAACATATAGTTAAATACCATAATCAAATCCATTGATCCTCCCTGCACCGTCAAGTACTTCCGTTCTTCAACGGAGTTCCGTGCCGTTGGCGAGGACGGTACTTGGTTTGGCGCCATGCGATTGGAACTGGCTGGAGCTTGCTGGGGACCAAGTCGGACCAAGCAGTCGCCATGCTCTGGGCCTTGGTTTTCACCATGCCATATATGGGGGGTTCCTTACCCTTTGGTAATTTAACATAACTATGGAAAGATCCACCGTTTTCAATGGGACAATCCACTATTTCTATGGTCATTTTCAATAGCTATGTTAGTTTACCAGATGGTAAGTAATAGGGGTAATTACCACAAATCATCCAAGTCACTCACTAGCCCACCAAGTTAGTATTGAAACAACCATGGTGACTTGGGTACGCCATGCCATACGAAACCTCCATAATATAATCCCATCCATATCCATCCATTACAATATGAAACACCCCCATTGTATGGTCCCAAACCTATGCAAATCCTATCTAAACCAGGTTTTCTGGGGCGTTTAAGGTTAGGGGGAAAGGAGTGGCTGTGATATACACCAAAATGACCATGTTCAGGAAACATGGCGATGAAACATGGTTTTTGAAAAAAAGATACCAGTCCGAAACAAATTGGCCGAACCTCGGTAAATGGTGAGATGGCTGGACGAACTGGCTGAACGTGGAGTTTTTTTTCCAGGTAAGGTTGTGTTAGCTGTGTGACAAAATATTCTTAAGGCTATGTATTGAAAAAATCCATGCACATCCCTTGATGTCAGTCTGAGTGATTCACATTGTTCAGTGGGTTGAAGCTACAAACTGTAGTATTTCCATTGATGCTTAAACTATCAATGGGTAATATACGTATATATGCACATTATTTGTAGCTATGTATTTTAGTCACTTGACCCACCACCACTGGTATTGGTTGTGGTTAAGTCGGAAGTCATCTTGAAAATGTCCAGCTAAAAATGTCGCAGGATGATCCCCCATGACCAGTCAGCTCTATAGGTATACTTCCATTGACTATTTCATTTCTCTTTGAGCCGGATAAGAAAGCATGGGCTTTCAATGTACCGGAGGAATTTTCAGAGATGTCTATACACCTAGATACATTTGCAGGACTTGTTGGACCGGCTTCCAAAGCCTTTGCTGTGATCCAAACTTGGCAGTCTATAAGAAACTCATGGGGATTCCCGTAGCTTCAACCAATCCCAGCGATGTGGGTGAATAAGGGGTTGCTGTTGGGAAAAAAGTCTTTCAGAACTTTCACATGAATGTTGGTAAAACAATGTCATGTTTACCATCCAGTCATCACCATTACTTATAGGTGGTATGATTACCATTCCCAGATGGGTGGTTAACCACAGATCTCGGATGGATTGGAGCTGATCAAGCTCCATAGTTATGTTTAAAAAAAACACGTGGTCGGAGAGGTTAATGTTGTAGTATATTTGTTTGATATAACCATATTATTTCTCTAGTTAGTTTACTGCTTCTATTATGTTAAGCTATATTTGATTATTTCCCCAAATTTGGTGGTTTTCCGAGGTTGGAATGTGCCCGAGCTGGCCACTGGCTCCCCCAACTTGTTATCAACCTTCAAGGACGGCCACAGATCCCGTCAACCGGCGCATGGTTTTGTGATGGATCGAAACTGCGAACATATGAAATCGAAAGTGATCCAATGATGTTTCCCAACATGTTCAGATCCAAAGTGGAGATCCGTGAAATGTCGAACTATATGTTGGGGAGAAGTTCTTCAACAGAAAATTGGACATTGAAGTAGAAAAAGGTGTACTGAAGCAGGAAACGTGAGGATTTCATAGGATTTCAGTTGGACGAAATTCATTTTTTTTGTTCATTCCTCCGTTAGCTGCGGTTTCAAGAATTGATGGCCGGCCAAGGAGCTGGTGTCGATAGTGATCCCCAGTTCTTAGATTTTTTGACCTTCTGTGACAGTACCACAAGATATTTGGGGTAAATATGGGTAAAGTGCCCATTTCTATGGGTAAAAACACCTTGGCCACACCTGACAGCTACAGGATCTACTCTTGTACGAGAGCGAATTGATGATGCTTGGCGTCCGGGTCCACGATGTTGTTGTTTTTTTCGTCAGTGCGGGCAAGAGAAAATGAGGATTTGTTTGAACGATATCCCAAAATCCCATGGTTTATCACAACGAAAAGCAATTTTGGTGGGGTACTTTCTTCACGTGTTGGACAAACTCATGTGGTGATATGTGCAGGATGCCAGGTCTCACCTTGTTATGGGGATGTGGATGCTGCTTAGGTTCAGTGCTTAAAACGCGTTAAAGGCAAGGTAATGCTCACAAACAAAAAATGATTGTGGACTGTGGACATTTTTTCATGGACCACAGCTTTTCCCTCAGTATCAGTTTAGGACAGTGGTAGGTGATGATTTTACCGTACCAAAAAAGGAGATTTGAGTCTTGGCTTTGCTGCATGACCCTCAATCAGAGCGGGCTTTGCACGTAGTTATATAATTAGAATCCCAGTGATGCAATGTGGTAAACCCTATGATTCAGATAGATGTTTACTGATATTTACATCATATATAACTTGGATATGTTTCCAGCTATTTCAATATAGCGAGACAACTTGGATGAATCAATCCCATGGTTTCCCATCCTCTCTCCGAATGGCATATTCGGGGAACATTTACCCCATATTTGGTAGTGTAAACTAGGTGAACCTTTGGGTACAAACTAATCCTTTAGTTTTTTGGTATCATTGGGATTATGTTCACTAGCCAAGAATTTGTTTGCATTTTTTGCAAGGTATCCAAGATTGGCACTTTAAAAAGCTGCATTTACCCCATTTGGTGGTGAAAATCCATCCCTTTCTGGTGACGTTTTGCATCGGATCTTGCGGCAGCCTGGAGGCCTTACAGAACGAGAGGAACGACGCGCGCCCCTTCGGGACCGACATGGGAATGGTGCCACGACATATGTGCGGGAAACATGACATAAGGCCGATTTTCTTCAAAACATAGTGGTAATATAGATATAATATATATATATATTATTATTTATTCATATTATATATTAATTATCTATTATCTATTATCTATTATTTATTATCTATATCTATTATCTATTATATGTTATCTATTATCTATTATTTATTATCTATATCTATATCAATGTCTATCTATTATAATTATGTGTGATATTTTATTCACATAATTATATATATACATGTGAGCCCTGTTCTAAACCCTTGTGTTCATGTTAAGCAAGGAGCCCCTTCTAAGGGTGTGGCGTAAGCAAAACTGTGGTGCGCGTAAGCCAGCGTAAGCTCCGCGTAAGACAGACAAGATATGCGCGTAAGCAAAACCTGCGCGCGTAAGCAAGACGTAAGCAATGGCGTAAGCATTTCCTTATTTGGTGGCAGGATGTAAGACATTTAGAACATGGCTCATGTGTACATATCTCGGATATACGCATCAAACTACGACCAAGGCAGTTGCTCTAAAGCACATAAAACCAGCTTAGTGAGATTCGTCAATTTCATCCACCTCATCGCGAGCAAAAAAAATGAACAAAAAATGAGAACAAAAAGCGGTGAATTATAGATATATAAATATCATAAATTATCGTTAACATATATTAATGGTTCATTGTGTTTTTCTCAATGTTTCATAGTGTTTGCTGTAGTGTTGACTCCATGTTTCTAGTTGCATTCCATATTTTCACCTTGGACCTTGACAAATCATGCGGCAGGAGCGTCAACACCGTCCTGGCCGAGACCTTTGGTCCCGGCGGCATGGTGTCGTCCTTGCGGAAGGGAGGTGGGAAGAACCACTCCGTGAATTTATAGGGTTTAATTAAAGCCATTAATACAGAATTCCATTGATGATAGTGGGATGACTATAAACCATATACATCCATATACCATATGGGGGTTTCATCAACAAAAATATGGTGGTGGGGATTTAAACATCTATAAACCATATACATCCATATACCATATGGGGATTTCATCAACAAAAATATGGTGGTGGGGATTTAAACATCTATAAACCATATACATCCATATACCATATGGGGATTTCATCAACAAAAATCTTAGTGATTCCATGGAGATATTTATGGAGGATCATCTGAGTGCAGTTGAGGTGATCTTCATGGCTATAAGTGGAGCTACACCCCAAGCATAGGTCAAAGTTGAGCGATACCAAAAACTAAGGAATAAGAATGTTGCTATAAGGCCTATAGTTTACTATAAATATAGGAAAACTGATGAAGCTAGTATTTTAGGATATTTTAGGCATGTATGAGTCAAAATTGGGTGGTTAAACCAGCGAAAATGGACATGAAAAAAACAAACATCGGGATTAAACCAACTAACAATCTTGCAACAAAAAATGTGAGAAAGCCACTGGACGTGGTATATATCACCCAGAAACAATGGGTAAATAGATTGGTGGGTCTTGGTTTGGTTCATGCATAATTTCTTTGTCATCGAGAAATTAGGTTTAAGCAAGAATATGTGTATATGTATTAGACATCTAGTCTTGAGCATCGTTGAGCACGGGTACATCGATTGGTGAATAGTAGGTTTTTATGGATTTGCTGTTTGCCATACATGGGAGACTATGATTAGCCATGGAATCATGGACATGTCACAGGAATAACTTGGTGAATGGAGTCGTTTTCAGAGGTGGTGAACCAGCAGCTATGGAGATATTTCACCTGCAAAAAAATAGATGGTGTTTAACTTGATATCCTTAGATATACTCAACTTTAGTAGAAGGTGATAAACCTGATAAACCAATCAATGATGGGTAGATTGTGCTGAACAGATGACCAATTGCTGCATGTTCCGGTTTTTTCCCGGCTGGGCGTTTCTCGGATTTCTCAAGATGTTCGATGTTGGGAAGATGGTGGGGATACCGCAGGTTGACTCAATTTCCATTCATGTTCGCGGAGGGCGGAGGTAATTGATTTTGGAACTTGCTGGAAGTAACCCAGGTTTTTGCAAATGATTCACTGGTTTAATTATTAGTTGGTCACATCATCACATCTTACTTGGATGCTTGTTCCAAGCGATCAATCCAACCAGCATGTCCCAACTGGCTGTTTCCAAGAGGACCATGACCAAATGATTCTAGAAATGGCTGGGAAACCAGTGGTTTTGAAGATGTATAATTCATGTTAGTAAAGCAATGTTTTGAAACCATCCCCAGATTTACCCTCTGGTAATTTTAACATAGCTATGGAAAATCACCATTTTTAATGGGAAAACTCACTATAAATGGCCATTTTCAATAGCTATGTTAGTTTACCAGAGGGTACCATAGATGGGTTTTATATTGTTTTATAAACCATCAAAAATATGGGTGGTTGTTGCCCTACTAACATGACCTAGTTATAGTTTGCGCAGGAAAGAAAGGCGTCACCCGATCAGACCAGCAGTTGCCATGGGGCTGGTCCGGACGCTTGGCCGGTGCCGGTGGTGAACCGAACAAATCCATGGGGAAATGGAGAACTTGTTGGTGGTTTGGAACATGATTTTTTATGACTTTCCATTCAGTTGGGAATGTCATCATCCCCACTGACGAACTCCATCGTTTTTCAGAGGGGTAGGGTTCAACCACCAGAGAATCATCCTAAGACATCCCAAGATTCTAAGATATGCTCACCAGATCCCTATGCTTAGAAAATGATCTCCCCATTCATGATATGTTTGGTCTTGCCATGGGAAGAGAATTATTCAGTATGTTTACTTAGATCTGCGGATGGGTGACCAAAGTGGCTGGATTGCAGGTTTTCTGCTGCTAATACCGGACACTGGTTTGGAATACCCTTTGCTGATCTATCATCGCTGTGGAACATGGCCATTCTGAATAGGTAAATCACCTATAAGATGGCCAATGTTCCGTAGCTATGTGAAATCATCGGAAGATATGTCATGGTTCTCCATCGGTAAAAATGGAATGATGATCTTCATTGATTCAATTATGTTGGAACGGGCTGCTGCCAAGCTGATATGAGTGCATGATTTAATTTTGCTGATACCTCGTTTATGAGGGAGAGTGAGAGTATGTTTAAATATATTTCACCAACTCTTGTCGGAGTCAACGTGAATGGGGCTACCTGCTATGGGGATGCCACTGTGGCCAGGTATACTTTGAAGGGAAAAGATACGGACTTCAATCCCTATGGCTGCTTGGATGTTGAATGCTGGGTTGGGATACTGACGGACAGTGCAGCCCATATCCAGTATAATATCCTATGTGTCAAGGTGAGCAAGAAACAATTGATATGCGAGCAATCCCAATGATGATGTTCATGTCCCCCAGATGCTTTTTTTGTTTCTTTATTTAATGGTGTTCTCATTTTTCCCCAAAAGCTGCGGGTTGTTTCTAGCCGTTTCCATGCAAGTCTGTGCAAGCCTCACTAGCCCCAGTTGTCATTTTGTTCCCCATCAATACAAGGCACAAACAAGTTGTAATCTTTGCCCCCCCCTTACTAAACATGATTAAGCAACAGCTCTCAGAAACCGTGGTTTACTGGATCTGTTCATATTTGTGAAAAAGATTAGTTTTACCACAACCCACGACACGTTTTTTTTTTTTTTTTCGGATAGGATTACCAAGCCTTGATGCATGGAATCCAAGCTGCAATATATACATATGATGTATAGTATCAAATGTGTGTACATATATGTATTAATATATGTATGATGTATGTATATATATAATGTCATCCTATATCGTGTGTATATGTAATTGAAATTGTATTCTAACGTATATCATACACACTGTATTTATTTATTTGTATCGTGCATATATGTACATGTGTATACATAATGTCAACGTAGGCACTGGATTTCGGGATACCCACGTTTTCCAGACCTGAAATCGGCTAAATCAAGTAAAGGCAGGTTTTAGGAAAACCAGCTTGTTGTTTCATATGGACCAGTAGCATGGTCCGTCGATAGATCAAAGAATGTATGTTATGTTATCTTATTATGTTATGTTAGGTCATGTCATGTCATGTCATGGTATGTCATGTTATGTATGCATGTATGTACGTGTGTACGTACGTACGTATGTATGTATGTAATGTATGTATGCATGTAATGTAATGTACTGTAATGTAATGTCATGTCATGTAATGTAATGTAATGTAATAATGCAATGCAATGCAACGCAATGCAATGCAATGCAATGCAATGCAATGCAATGTAATGCATGTATGGATGAAATGTACTCTAATCTAATGTAATGTCATGTCATGCAATGTAATGGTATCTAATGGTATGTAATGGTATGTAGTGGTATGTAGTGGTATGTAATGGTATGTAATGGTATGTAATGGCATGCACGTGTATGTAATGGTATGTAATGGTATGTAATGGTATGTAATAGTATGTAATGGCATGCACTGGTATGTAATAGTATGTAATGGCACGCACTGGAATGTAATGAGATGTAATGGTATGTAATGGTATGCAATGGTATGTAATGGCATGCACTGGTATGTAATGGTATGTAATGGTATGCATTGGTATGTATTGGTATGTATTGGTATGTATTGGTATGTATTGGTATGTAATGGTATTTTTTGGTATCTATTGGTATCTATTGGTATGTATTGGTATGTATTGGTATGTAATGGTATTTTTTGGTATCTATTGGTATCTATTGGTATCTATTGGTATGTATGTACGTACGTATGTATGTACAGAAGCAGGCACTTTTGGATTTTATCTAAAGGGTATGCACGAATTTGACCTGCCTTGGTTTCAGGACGCAAACCCAAATCTAAGCTTTTAAGCCAACATAGCAATGGAACATGCTAAAACGTGATAAAACACGGCCCATTGATAGAGGATTTCAATGGATGGTATCAATCCTCTGCCAATTTTCCGGCTTAGGCAAGATGAGGGACACCTGTGCGAAGCTCAGTATCATCCTATGGCTGGGGGATGTTTTCATGTCGGATGTTTTCACGCATCTACCAACTTACCTTCGTTAAACACCGAGATGCCAACTTACCTTCTAGATTAAACTCACATTTTGGCTGGTTGAATCATTTTGTTCTGTTGATGAAATTGATGAAATCATGAGTTCTGTTGATTTTCGTCGCAATGTTGTTGCACCCAAACATGCGTCATTCCGCTACTAAACCATGGTTTCTGAGAAGTGTTTCAGATTGGGGGAAGTGAAACATCATTTAACATCACTAACCATGTTTTGTCATGTTGGTTCAAAGACCACAATATGAAAACATCATGGCAAACCATGTAAAATCCCCATGGCCCATGGCCACAATTTTCCTATCTCTGGTCCCCAGCCGGGCACCCGGCCCTTGAGGCACTGGTCAAGTGATGCGCCAGATGTACGAGCGCCACTTTCACAGCGAGATGCCGAACCTCAAGGTGGTTGTTTTTGTACAGGTAGGTTGAGTGGAGGATAAAAAAAACATCGAGATTTCCTATGAGTTATAGGATATGATAAATCTATGTAGTATAAATACGAGTTGTACACGAATTTATCTATGATTATGTTTTGTTTATACCACGTATGTATGTATATATATATATACACTGTATATACATAATGTAATGAGTTGATCATTTACACATGTATGTAGACATATTTAGTCAGTAGATACCAAAACTGTGCTTCTGTATACCCTTACAACTTATATGTAATCCTAGATATGGTACCTTTTTTATGATATGTCTATATATGACAATTCTATATCTACATAGTTTGTTGTATTCATACATACGTATTTATAAATAACACATACAGTTCTACTGCTATATCATATAGTATATATTTTCCAAGATGGCACCCAAGATCCTGAAGTCAATCATCCTTTGTCCAAGTCTTTCTGATCCATGCGTCAAGGTAGGGTTCATCAACGGCTTGCCGTTTTCACGTGGTGCATGTGCTTTCTGTTCCGTGTGGTCATTGAAAAGCTGCACTGGCAGTGGTAGATATCAGTCATATCATGTTTTGTTGGTTATATAGCCCATGATATCCCATTAATGTCAACCCCGGATTAACAAACCAAAGTTTCTTAATCAGGGGGATATTCCCCCAATAGTCATAATCTGATACTTAAATGGTACCCCCCAATTAAACAGCCGTTTGGGGTTTATTAATCCAGGGTTGACATTAATTACTTAATTACATCCCCAATATATCCCGGATGAAAACGATTAGCTTTCCTTTGGCTACCTTTTGGCTTTGTCAATGAAATCCCCATATATATAATCATATATATATAATCATATATATATAATCATATATATATATATATGATTATATATATAATCATATATATATAATCATATATATATATATTCATATATATATATTTATTATATTATATATATTATATTTTATTATAGTATATTTTATTATAGTATATTATAGTATATTATACTATATTATATTATACTATATTATATTATATGATACTATATCATATTATATTATATTATATTTTATTTTATTATATCATATTATATTATATTATATTAAATTATATATAATCATATATATATATATGTATATTATATTATATTATATTATTTTATTATATTATATTATATTACATTATATTATATTACATTACATTATATTATATTATAGTATATAATATTATATTATATTATATTATATATAATCATATTTATATACTTATATTATTAAATAATTTATATTATGTTACATTACATTATATTATACTATATTATATTATATCATATCATATCATATATATACATAAATCATGCTGTTCATTTGTTCTTTTCTCCGCGGAAGCATTTTTTTGTCCGGCCGTCTGGGTTTGTCGTTCCAGCCACCGTCCTCGAAGCCGCAGGAACTGGTGGTGGACCAGATCAAACCGCGCCTGGAGCGCTTGGCAAAGAAGAACATGCCGGGGCTCTGCCCGGTTGCCGAGATTGGATGTATCCCCACTCCTGGGATATTATATATATATACACATATAGTAGTTAAGAATATATATATATAGTAGTAACATATAGTAATATAGTAATATAGTATATATCAACTCTTGGGATATTATATACATAGTAGTTGAGAATAGAGTATGTAAGATTTACCATAGTACATACCATAATAATGACCATAATAATTACCATTGCATATATATATATATTGACACAGACTGTATATAGTAGTTCAGAATATGCAGTGTATAATCTTGATTTATATGGGGTATATCTCATGTATAGGCGGTAGGTTACACCCATGGTTATGACCATGACTCGCGAATAATGGCGCATCTAAGGAGGAACAGCGAATAATGGCTAATTAGTTTGATACCCAAGGGAGATATGATGCAACGGAGATAGTTTCCGGATATATCACTGAAACTGGTACATTCATTGCCCAAGGCATCAGCAAAACCACGGAATCGACTTCAAGTGCACGTTGATACTCATATGGGGATTGTGAACATCTTCAAACAATGGACATGTTTTGAACCGGATAGTTGCTACACACTTCATTGCCAACTATCGCACTATCACGGACCAGCTTGGAGAAGTGACCACTTAGATCCACTTAGATCCACATTTCACCAAGGCCTCTGGGGAAAAGGGATTCCTGTTTCCAGGTGGTTGCTGAGATCCACATTGTTTTCAAACAGCGATTCCGATCTTTGATCAAAAACACATTTCACTTGTGGGACACCAGTTTTTTGGACACCAGTTTTTTCTCCCAAGGTCCGCTGATCGGACTGGCGCACGGCGACTTGAATGCGGCCAACATCATGATCGATGCGCTGGACACGTGGTCCGTTGATGGCGTTGCGCTGTGGAAGAGTCCGCATAAGATATATTGGGATATCATGAGGATATTATAGGAAACATATATATATATATACATTACTACTGTATCTGCACATATATATATATATATTTAATATATGTTTTTTTCTATATATATATATATATATCTATATGCTGTATATAAATAGATAAATCAAACATAATTCAACATGGAGCCTCATGGATCTGTGTGAAAATTGGCTTCACAATTCCACCCCACCTTCTGGATCGCCCCCCGGTTTCTTGGTGAATGATATTGGTCAACATGTGAATTGGGTTCCTTGACACAAAATTGGGCCTTTTGTGGGCAACAAGATAGGTCTTACAAGAGTTTACACAATAGTATCATGTACATAATATGTGTATGTATATATATATATATACACAATTCTATACATAGATATATTGTATGATGTACATAACACTACATACATATATAGTACATATATTTCCAAACCTGAGGAAAAAGGCTGGGTACATATATTTCCGGAAAATAGTACATACATATAGTACTGATGTAGCATATACCAAACAAGTACATCTATTTCCAAAATATACATATACTACTGAAAATATATATACTGGTTGGTGGTTTGGAACATTTTGTATTTTCCATAATATATGGGTTGTCATCCTTCCCATTGACTAATAACTAATATGATGGTTAAAACCACCAGTATACATATTTCCAGTACCAAAATTGATGTGTTAGGTAAAATCAATGGGATATTCCCTTGCATAGGCCTTACATAGGCCTTATATATGGTAGGTACCTCCAATCAATCGGTTCCTGAAATGACCATTGATCAAAGCTGGATTACCTGCGGTTAGTCAGGACGCCGTGTGGCTCATTGACTTTGCCACCTCCGTGGATTTGCCGCTGCTCACAGATCTCTGCAAGCTGCTTGGTCAAGAAAAAGCGCTGTTGGGGCAAACATTTGGTGCCATAAACCAGAGAAAAGACCAGTTATCATGAGATTTTTGGAGGTCTAACCTGGTTGACCTTTCAAATGATGATGTGAATATGGTTGATTCTGTTTTTTTTTGTTTTGAAGCGGGTGAGCCAACAAAAATGAAGGTTGAACGGATCACTTGATGCAAAAAAACATACATATGATGTTTCTTGATATACTATACCGACTTGTACTTTTTGTACGTGCTGTTTTGTTGTTTTGGAATAGGATGTACTTAGTAATGTGTTGGATTTAAACAATACAAATCAACTCCAGCATACGAGATTTACATAGATTTACTGTAACCATACATTCATCCCCAGGGATTTGACCATCCGTTGGAGTTGGAGATGTCCTCTTTTCAGACACTTGGCATGACAGGAGGATGTTTTTTTTCCGCTGCAGAGGATCAAGAATGGCCGAAGGAAGTGTTATAAGCATTCTAAACACCATACGAAATTGGCATTCTCTTGTGCCAAGCATCAATTTCGCTGACTTGTGGTTGCTTTTAGCGAGCTCCAATATGAAACAAGATGGGCATACCCGGCTGGCTGGCAATGTACAGTGAATACACTCTGGTTATTTAACATAGCCATGGAACATGGCCCATTTATAGAAGATTTTCCCAGCTAGAAACCTCCATTTATAAGGGATTTTCCATGGCTATGTTCTGTTAGTCATAACCAGATGGTAACTTATAGATTGTGGGTCTATTGAAGCTGTGCATTTCCAAGCCGGCGAAGAAATCATGATGGTCACAGCGAAGAAATCTCTATCTATAACATCAATTAGCCATCCATTATAAGCATCATTAATCATTAACCATCATTAACCATCACGAATCATTAACCATCATTAACCATCCACTATAAGCATCATTATATAACCATTGACCTTTCCATTCTAACGTGATTTTCCACCAGTCCAACGTGGAATTCCGGGCACCTGGTTCCTGGTGTCTGAAAAAATGCCGGCTATGACGTGAATATCCTTATCCTACCCTTATTCTATCATATTGGTCGACCATAAAAAAAAATAAATAAATCAATTAATGCATATATATATACACACCATTCTCATTCTCCTATAGACTTTTCATTGGGGTTTACATAAGAAAAAAAATATATATATATGTATATAGGAAGTCCTGTTGGTGTTTCATCTTTAACATAAGGGGCTTTTCTGTGCCCCCTTCATGGATTATTTCCTACGCGTCCGGCTAGGTGGTGCCGAACTAGTTTGATCTGTGTCTTTCAAATTAACGTTCCTTCGGTAATAATGATGGTTAGCAATGGTTGATTATTTCCCCGGCTAGTATTGTTATGTGTCTTAATATTATATATATATATGTTTGTTTCAAGTACTGGTCAATCATAGTTAATGGCTTGAGTAATGGCTAGTAATGTTTATTTTGTTTAATACTGCTTAATCATTGTTTTCATGGGTAGCAGTAGCAATGTTTTTTTGTTTTTCCCATGGTTACTGGTCATGACGTCATCACAACTGGGGGCCAGGTTTGAGATGGCCTGCTTGTTCGAGTACGCCATTTTACCCATCACTGCAGAGAACTTGGTGGACTTATCGGGTCCGGATGAGGCGACCAAAACGGGACCTTTTTGGAGTTTTCTGATGAAACATTGACCAATTGTATAGCCAATTATGAGTTTTCCAATAATATACCAAAAGAAACACCAATATATTTTCCAGTTCTTTATCTAATGGTGTTTCCAAGGTCATGACGCTTGAAAATGTGATATGGCATGTTTGGCCATGCTTTTCGGAGGGATGGTAAAGTGCGCTATGTCACACAGTTTATGACCGCTGAATGGGGATGGCTCCTTAAACATCACCTGGATCATTTGCTGAGATCATGTTAGATATTGTTAAATCATTAAGCATCATTCCCCATCATTCACCATGAAAACCATCATTCACCATTCACCATCATTAATTCACCATTAACCATCATAAACCATCATGCACCATTAACCATCACAAACCATCCATTCACCAGCAATCTCACCTGGGCAGGCGCATTGGGAGCGGATGGGCATTGGCGAATGGTTGGGTGTGCAACAGGCGCGACGTTCTGCGGGGAAGACTGGTCCGAAAGTCACCAACGTTCCTGGTTTGATCATGGTTGATCATGGTTTATCATGGTTTATCCAATTTGTATCCATTTAAGTCAGTATGAATCAAGTATGAATCTGATGATGATGATGATGATGATGATGATGATGGGTTCTTATCATTTCTTATTATTGGCCTTAGAAGCGATGCCAAATAGGATGAATATCAAAGTAACAAGGTCCAGCACATTGAAAATCTACCTAGATCCCCACATAGTCCATGGATAAAGTGTATATTGAGATGTTCACAGGCGTTGTGTTTTTCTCCAAAAACTTGTTCCGAAATGTTTCATTCATGTCATGTGACATTGAGAAAAGGTAATCCACCGACTGGAACAGGTCAGTGCACATCAGCCATATGTACCATGCCCCCCCACGTTAATTGGTTGATAATGATTTATAACTTGATTTTCTTTGGTTTGTGGCAGTTGATGCTGCATATTATATATATATACAATCGATCTAGTTAGATTGGGTAACATAAACTCACAAACGTAACATAATGTAACCATAGCTACAGGGAATATGTTCCACTTTATCCCAACATGCACGTGGTGTTTGTTTGTTTTTTCCCTGGGTCTTGATTCACAGCACGCCGAAAAGGACGTAGCAACAAGCTTTTTGAAGCTCTTGCTGCAAAAGGTCAAGCGAGAGAAGTTACCTATCTGCACGAAGCGATTGTGGATTCTGATGGGGAATATCATGTGGGTATGGGTCAAAATGGATTGCTGATTCCTGAAAAAATGTTTTGTTTAATCCATCAATGGCCATTTGAATGGGAACGCAATGATTCACCAGTGGAGTCAGTTGCAGATACCCTCTCTATTTTTCAGACAAACCCGAATATGCATCCCAACAAAGTGGCATGCTTAGAACAAACATCGCCGAAATTTCTTAGACCTCCACGGGTACATGTTGACCCTGTCCATGTGGAATGAATGGTCAGCAGATCGTATGATTTGGGAAATCCATGTATATCCATGTGATATATACGTACATATACGTACTATATAATCCCACCGATATGAAGAAAATCCGAATATCCAAAACAACATTACTAGCAGATCTATAGATGAAGGTAGATATACAGATATATATACATATGAGCTATATATATAATATAAACCTATTTATGTTGCTGAAAGGTAGCATCAATCCTCTCGCGATTCAGCTATATCCTGAGGCTGGCCAGTATGGAAGCCAGTCAGTTGGAGAGTCTGGTAGATGAGGCGCCAGCCGTTTCTTTCCCCTTCGGATTTGGGGATGATCTCCGTGGCGCGGAGATTTTGCCACGGGATGAGGGCTCAGCCAACATCAGAGAAGGAACTCATGGACAAAGACATGGGGATAGGTCAAAAGCTTGCCATATGCCTGGGGGAATAACATGGAATAACCATCCATTAACATCCATTCACCAGCTTTTTGGGGTACCTAGGGGCCTAGGGTACCTGGGTTTTGACCCATAACCAAACATGAAACAGGGATCAACCATGATCAACCAATGTGAATCTCGATAGCATGGGATGGAAACACAAGCAGTTGTTTGAAGGCTATCCTACCAAATATTACCAAATACATCCAAATACTATAGGGAAACAAAAAACCTAAAGACAAACAATTGTGTAAGAATCATGATCAGCAAGAAATTGGCCGATCACACCGCGATTCCGGAGTCATTGCTAGCAGAAGTCACCAGCATGTGCAAGCGGGAACCATTCAGCGTTTGCTCAGTGGAATGTCTGAGGAGAACATGCTGAATTGACCAACAAGTCAGCAAATATTGGACGGTTTAGCCATTTTTCATTTTTGTAGATGATACCCTCTGGTAATTTAATATAGCTATTGAAAATGGCCCAGTCGAAATAGTTGATTTTCCCATTAAAAATGGTGGATCTTTCCATAGTTTTTTGTAGGTTTACCAGAGGTAATTAAATTCCAAGCCGGCCATTAAACTCAGCGATTTCATCAATGGAGATTTGATTGGTGGCGCCATGGATGGCGACCACCGAAAGCTGTCACCATTTTAAGGTGGATGCGGTAAACCCTAATAGTTAACCATTGGAGAGGAGTTTTTCCATACATTTCTGAATAGTCTAGCAGTTTTAGACACGATGTTTCCGGTAAACCAAAAAGATGCACCGGTTTATTTTACCAGCCATTATTGTTCAAGTGATACAACCATGGGGATGCTTTAGGGTGTAGGGTTTCTCACAATACCAACTAGGAAAGACGACTGCGGGGAAGATTTCACCACCAGCATGCCCGGTCAGGCGATTCAACAGTTGCCCACGCACAAGCAACCCCAGGTGGAGATACCGGGCCGTCGAAAAATGGGGACTCCTCTCTTAGTCATCTCTCAACTCTCACGGATAAACCGGTTGGACCGGATCATGTCGGGCGATAGTGGTGTGATTGTTTTTTTTGTTTGTCCCAATAAAAATACTTCAAAGCTCTTGTACAGGCCCAAACACTAAACTTCCATATAGCGAAAACACTTTGAAACTAATTTAGGATTGGGGTTTGGTTTTGGCAGATTCCTAACGAGCACCGAGTTGGAGTTGCTTACCAAGTTCATTGGAAGATAGAGTAGTTCCTCTTATAAGACATCCTTTTTCGGCGCACCAGATCATGTAGAGAGTTGGCGCAATATTGGGATCCTAATAAAAATACCCTCTGGTAAACTAACATAACTATGGGAAATCACCATTTTCAATGGGTAAATCCACTATAAATCACCATTTTCAATAGCTATGTTAATTTACCAGGGGGTAGCAATTCTGATCCAACTGTTGATATTTTTGTGCGGCAACAAAGCAGAACTTCAGAACATCATCTTCCTGGTAGCAAGAACTATTTTTGTGCAATCTCTCGGAGACCACCGCGCAATCTTTTCAGTGGACATTTGCACAGCTGACCTGCAAGGAGCCATGGAGGAACAACATATTTCACTGGAGAATTTAACGCAAACTTGAAGGGGTACCTGTAGCTCAGGGTAGCCATGGCGACCTGTATGTCACTATCTTGGGAGAAAGCTGGCGCAAAGCATCACAATCAACATACAGTATTTTTTTGACTTCTTACCCAAGATTGAAATGCTCAAACTAGCTTTGCTTTGCATTTACCGGAAGATACAGCTTCCGCTTGCCACGAGTCCGCTGCCATGGAAGAAGTTTCCCTGGGCTCCTTTGGAGAGGCCGTTCGTCCGTGATGAATGGTACGTTGGCGTTTTAGTTTGTTTTGCAATGAATGAAGAACTGAAGAATCAGTTTCTTCTGAAGGTATCTAAGAGTAGCCAGGTGTAGACAACCCAATTTCGCCTCAATGTTTGTCAATATGGCTTGGCTTGTAGAGCTTGCTTAATTTGCTTGTAGAGCTTGGTGGATATTACACTAGTGATCTTCTTATAGATTGCTATGAGCAAATGATACCTAGCTTTTCATCCCAGTAGTCCGTGTCAGAAATGCTGATGATACAGTGACACAACAATCGGGGATCACATGTTGAGAATTACATTGGATTGATACTTGCAATTGCCACTTCTCAATGTCTTCCTCTATCCGAATATACCATCCTTTCTTTGCTAACATATATCATTAATGTCACTCAGATCATATATAATTATATATAATTATTATAGAATTATATATAACATACATTAGTATACAATTATATGTAGGTGTATATATATATAATTGTTGTATATTTATCTACATTTTCCCTAAGTGGGCAAGATTCGTATCGGTCAACATGATCACCCCCTCTCCGGAACCTACAATCAGGTTGCCACAGATGGCCCAATCTCAATGTCCAGGATTACATGAGCAGATCTAGCCCTAGTTTTCTGCCAGGGTAATATACGGTGGGAGAAATCCTGCACCACCTTGGATGGTTGAAACATGTTGAAGCCCTCTAAACAATGGGATAAACCATCTATCCACTGGTGCAGGATTTCTTCCATCCACAGTATGTATAAATAGTTAATGGTGCAACTGGGTGAATTATCCATGCTTAGTGAACGCTTCCAATTGCTGAGCCGCATATCCAGTCGGAGCTGGTTTGATCATTTCAGAGACTCTCCAGGTGGGTATGGTCCAAGACAGTAACCCTGACTTTTCGTTGCAAAGCATTTCTGAGCCAACAGAAACCTACTCACAGATGCATGGTAGGATTTCCGATTTTCATGTGGTCTGGCCTGGTTTGAATGAACCACATGTATGCATATGCATATATGGACCATATATATATATATTTATAATTATATATATATACATTACATATATATATATATACATTGTATATATATATATATTATATATATGTTAATGTTACCTATCAAAAAAGGGGGTGCCGGTGCCCATGGAGGCGGAGCCCAAGATCGGCCTGCGCTTCACACCAGGCGATGGAGCTTCCGCGGCGGCCAAGGTGTGGTGCCACAGATTTCGTCGACAAGAAATTGCTCCATACCCCAGCTCACTCACATATGTATATATATATATATATATCATTATTATTATGATGATTATTTTAAATATGTATAATTACTAATAATATAAATAAAATTTTAAATATATATATATATATGCACAGATAATCTGCTACATTTATACCTGTGTTTACCCCCAAAGTCACCGTCCTTTCATGTAGGTTTGCTCCACACGAGCCCAGGGGGTCTATGTCGCGGAGCTCTCCAAGAGCTCCCCGCTGAGTGCTACGATACCTGCACTCACCGAGACACTAGGCGCCTGGGACGGACGCGAGCCGTTGAGCCATTAAAAATACCGTTGAGTTGATAGGTTATGAGGATAGATTATTGGTTACTATCTGGTTTAATGGGGATTAAAATAAACCATAATAAGGATATCTATTAACATCTAATCATTAATCTATTAACCAACCAGTAAAATGGAATGGGATAGGGGTCTCTTTCATGGCTCAATTGATCACAATTGGTGTTATTTCTGTGGTGTCAAATGATCCCACATGGGTAAAATAATGTGTGGTTCTGGCGGTACGCCATGTTAGGCGGGTACTTTGCGGCTTGATCCGCTGGAACCTGAGGGTGTAGAGAAGGACGATGGTTAAAAAAAACAAAAGGGGAACTCCAATGAACATTGGAATATGGAGGTTTCCTGAAATAGGGGTAATTTATAGATGTTTTTTTCATGTTTTTTCCATTATAAACCATAAATTTGGAGGCAACCCCATTTACGCAACCCCATTTACGGCTGATCTCACTTGTTTCAAGCCGGTCAACGGATGTCATCCCTGAGATGATGCCAGGTGTTCCTGCGAATGCGGCGACCTGGAGAAAGGATGGTGCTGTTGGGTGGGAGTGCTGCCCACCCGCAGCTATGTGATGCTATGTTGTGTTGTGTTATGTTATGTAGTTATGTTATGTATATGTTGGTTTATTGTTGGATATTGTTGGTTTATAAACTTGAAATAAACCAACAATAGCTAGTTCAATCCGTCAATATATCCACCATCCTCCATAGACCAACAGTTAGAATAGTGGATCACGCCAACTTATCTAAGAAAGGGGCACCAACTTGTGAATGTTTCCATGGCTTCATTTCGTGCCATGGTCGATGTGAAACGCGGGTAATGGATGGTGGAGATTCATAGCTGTTTTAGAGCAAGATGTGGACCAGTGTTCTGGCACCACTCCATTGATCTCTATATCATGATACATGATAGGCTATAATACCATGTAATACCATGTATAATTATGTATATATATATATGTGATTATGATTATATATTATGTATATATATATATATATACGTATACAACAGACGCATATCATACGCACGTACTTTTACACATATATATTCTTAGATCATGTTTTTTTCAATACAATAATCAATTACATCTCTATATCACGTCTATATACTATCCATCATAGTCACTAGTACTTTAATATAGTATATATATATATATGTATATAATCATATCTATATACTATACATAGTTTCATTCATTCACACATTATTATTGCCACGTCCGTTCAGAAGGGCCGACAAGTTAGGTGACTCTGATGCACGACGGCCTTACCTTAGATCTGGAAAAGAGCCTGGCGGAGAACGTGCCTCGACGTCTGAAAATTTTATAGGGATAATCTATGGAAAATTCTATGGGATAATGGGATAATATGATATCTATTGGGATAATATCAACCAACGATCAAAAAATGGAGAAACATCTATGATCTATAGAGGGATAATTGAATTAATTAAATGGAGATAGTTGAGTGGATTATCAAGAATTAATTGGTCTGATATTATCCCAATGGGATCATTTTTGGGAGAATGATTGGGATGACAATTGGTGAACCAATTTATATGATGAATGGTCTGCCAATGATTCCTGTACCAGCTAATTAGTGACTTAGTGGAATTCACCAACGATCATCCCTCTTTATCAAATTACCCGTCAGATGATATATCGTATTTACACAATTTGGGATGATAATGGATGACAACCAATCATCAACCTAATTCACCAACTGATGAAACATGGAATGATAATTGGTGAAGGTCGATATGCATTATATATAGAGGTATGTATGCATGTGTACATATATATATATATATATATATTTATTATCATAATATATTATATAATATACATATGTATATATATATATATGCATAAATGTATATATATATATATGTTCATTATTTAATATATATAATTGTGTAATATATATATATATGTGTAAATGTATATGTATTTAAATATTTGTGTTTATATATGTATATACATGTATGTATATATATACATATGTAGATATATGTATATTGTTAAATGTCTGTATGTATATGTGTATGTATATATATATATATTATCATTATATATATAACTATGTAAATTATTTATATATATATATATTTACATATGTATATATATATATTTGTATATACATATATATATATATTCATATTTGTATATATGTATATATATATATACATGTATTTACATATATGTATATATGTACATGTATGTATATAAATGTATGTGTTAGTATATATATATATGTAAATGTTCGTATGTGTAAATAAATATATATATATATATGTATGTATATATACATATGTCTGTATGTACGTATGTACGTATGTATGTATGTATGTGTGTATGTGTGTATGTGTGTATGTGTGTATGTATGTATGTATGTATGTATGTATGTATGTATGTATGTATGTATGTATGTATGTATGTATGTATGTGTGTATTTATTAATGTATGTATATGTTTGTATGTATGTGTATATATATATGTTTGTATAGATATATGTTGATGGAGGCACGTAGATAAACGCCCTTGGCGTTTTTGTGCATTTTGGCAAATTTCTCGGGTTGGGGGGGTTGGGGGAGGAGGGTGAGGGGTGAAATACGTTCTTGTCGCGTGCTTCTTTAACATGTTCTTGGATCTTCTGACACGCTTCTAACATGCTCTTGGAACTTCCGACACGCTACTATAACATGTTCTCGGGATTTCTGACACGCTTCTAGCATGTTCTTGGAACTTCTGGCGCGCTACTAACATGTTCTTGGAACTTCTGACACGCTACTATAACATGTTCTTGGAACTTCTGACACGCTACTAACATTTTCTTGGAACTTCTGACACGCTTCCAACATGTTCTTGGAACTTCTGACACGCTACTATAACATGTTCTTGGAACTTCTGACACGCTACTATAACATGTTCTTGGAACTTCTGACACGCTACTAACATGTTCTGGCACACAATGTGTCGACCGTTGGTGGCAAAGTCTTGAAAAGACATTACCTGCTTCTCTCCATGTCAAAGACAGACGTGGAGGTGGCATTAATGATAAGCTAATATCGTATGTTTGGGGCTTCGTGTGGCGAAGCAATTTGTGCAACCATGCCAACTTGACCAAAGAGTTGGGAAAAATCTGTAACTTGGGACACACAGAACGAGCAAGAGAGAAAACTACTTTTGAGCGAACAAGAGCCTCGGATGATAAATAACAAACAATTCTGTAAATACCAATACAAATGACACATGAATGTGCTAAAACCACAGCGAAATGCTACTTTCATTTTCACTGAGCACACAAAATGCTGTAAAGGTTGCAAAATTTGAACATGGCGAAATGCCAAAATCAACAAATAACCCAAGGGCAAATATCCGCGTGCGACCGTGTAGATATATATATATATATATATATGTGTGTGTGTTTGTATGTATGTATGTATATATATATATGTATTTATTTATGTATATATATATGTATTTATTTATGTATATATATATTTGTATTTATATGTAGATATGTATATTTAAATATATATACATGTACATTTATTTGTGTATATATTTTTTATGTTTGTATTTATTTATGTATATATATATATTTGTATTTATATGTAGATATGTATATTTAAATATATATATATATATGTATATGTACATATGCATATGTATATATGTATAGATATGTATATATATATGTACACATATATTCATATTTATGTACATAAACATGTATATATATATATACATGTACATATGTATATATATATATATGTATACATATGTACATATATATATATATGTACAGATATGTCTATATATGTACATATATGTATAAATATAGATGTATAGTTAATTTTATAGTTATATATATTTATGCATGTATGCATATATATATATTTATACATATACGTGTCATGTGTATATATATATATACGTGTATATATATATACATTGATGTGTATGTATATGTATTTCTGTAAATACATCTATGTATATATTTCATATTTGTGTATTTATATTTGTATATATATATATGTAATTTATATGTTTTTTTTGTATTTATATATATATATGTATATATTTATTCATTATTATTATTTAAATACATACATACATACATACATATATATATATATATTGATATATATATATATAGATATATATGTATATTTAAATGTGTATATCTATATATATTATTAGGGATATATGCTTATTGATTATTTTTTTTATAATTCGGTCAACCCATTTTGCCATTAGTTCTTCATCCCCATGTCATCTCCGGCAGGAGGTGACCATCCCGGGTGCCCGCGCACGGCGCGAGGGTGAGAAGGTGCAGCTCTGCTTTGATACGCAGCACCTTGGCATTTCGACGAAGAGGTGGATTTCTCAATGAGGGAACCCCCGAATCACTATAAATCACCATGGTGAATACGAATTCATAGTGATTTTGAGAAAGTCATGATGGATTCCAGGGATCCCATAAGTAAACCATGGTTTTGAATACGAATATGAATTAGTCTAATGACTGGATAAAAACTAATGAATAGTAATGATTCACAAAACTAATGATTAACACTGTTTACAATCACTAATATATATATATTATAAATATATAGTTAGTAATAGATGCGGGTTTCTCAAGGCATGGTGGATCTCCAGTCGTCACCCTGGTTTTTACGAAGAGAAAATGGTCTGCTGAATGATTTTTTTTGGGTACCCCCATGACTTAGGGAAACCTCCAAATAGCATATTTTGAGCGGATTTTTTTCCAAAGGTGTGCCATTCGGAGTGCCATTTGGAAGGTCTATGTTGTTTTGAGGGGTAAAATGTTGATGAATTTTGGCGAGATCATTTTGTAGTAGGATAATACGACATATATACCAAAGAAAACGGTTAATGTGATATGTAAGGGTTGGATATGGGAAATTCATCTACAAGTGGGAAATACGTATATAATGGGGATATCTAACCACCAATATGGTATAATGGATATGGGTATGTTTGAACACGGGTAATACCCATACAAACATAGCAATTTTTGTGGGGAAGGTGGTTAAGCAGTCAACTCACCTGTGAATGGGACAATTGTTTCTCAAAGGGGATTCAGTAATTGTTACCCTTTGGTAACTAAACATGGCAACGGACAATCACTCATTTATAGATGTTTTTTGCCGATTGAAACATCCATTTATAGGTGATTTACCAGAAAAGCATATGCGGATTTAACGCAGTAGTGGTTGTGAATGGGTTTGTGCTTAAATGTGCTTAAACATGGCGGTATAAGACCAATCATGTTTTATAGGGAGAAAATGGTGTTTCTTGGATATTGCAGTTATTTTGGATCCATTGATATTTTGAAATAGTATATAAGCAACAATATGAGGATGATGGGAGTAGAGCCAATCACTTTCTGGGAGATAGTGGTGATAATACACGTGTATATATTCATATTTATATATCATACATTATATAACTATATTTATATATAATATACGTATATGTTTACACATATGATATCTACATAATCACATAACATAATCAGCAACATGAAAATTATGATTGTCGGTTTGTCCCAAAAATGGGTCTTCTCCAGATTTTGGTTTATTTCTTCGTGGGGAAGATACAGTCTTAGTCCAATGGAATCGGGTTTACCCTAATCTCGAACAACCCTTCTTGGTTGGGATATTGGGCTATGAATGGTCAGCAACCCAATGAAATCATATATAAGAGTATATCACAATGGATAACCCAATATAACCCAAAGAATGCTCACTATAAATCAATAATTGGGAAATATGAGGTATCCCTGAATCCAGTGCTTCGGAAAGTAAGTTGCTCAATTTTTTCCTATGAAAATTGCCATGTAGATCAACAACGAGAGTTCGCCAGAAAAGCCGAGGTTCATGATGGTTGAAGTAGGAAACATGGTGACACCAGAAGTCTAAGGTTGATATTTGTGCGGTTCGAAACACGCCCAAAATGATACCCCAAACTAATGTACTTTGCTGCATGGTGAAGAACTATGATCAACTATGGGATGTGGTATTATCACTAGAGTCACCACACTGCAATCCAAGTAGGATAAGTGACACGGGTGACGTGGCGCACTTGGGGTTGAAAACACTGCTTTTTTTTCTCTATACCACCAACCTTCTAGTGTGTGTGTGCTTTGATGTGCATGTCAAGAATCGTGTGCCAACATCCTGATTACCAAGCGACAAGAGAGAAGGTTGTCCTGTCATTTGCACATCCATATGCGAACGGAAAGAGAGAGGAGTATGCGCTGTGAGCGAGATGGAATTCTCTTTTGTGGTCTTGCCTGAATCACTGACAGGAATTGACTTTGCGGGATGTAAGGATTGGCTCTTCGATAGGGTTTGTCCACAGCTAAGGACGTGAGCAATTTGGTTTGGTTGCTTCTGTTATTGCGAAGTTCTAGGCTTTTGTAGAGAGTTTTTGAACTGGAAGCTTTTGTTGGGTTAGTTAAATGTAGACGAAAAGAACATATGTCGAATGACGAGAATATATTTCCTCCAGAGCAATGATATTCATAGATAATTATTCATAATAGATAGAATAATGATATTATGAAATAACCATAGTTAAGCTGAAACTGTATATGTATTAACCATATGTAGATTCGATTGACGGTGATTTTAGAATATTTTAGGTATTATGTAACTATATACAGGAAGAAGTCGTTCTCTTAAGTGTTACATGCCTGCTATGTTTCAGCCTTCTTTTGGCCAAACATCCCCGTTGTGAGGTTTAGCATCATGCAAGAAGTCGAAGAAGAGGCGAGAAAAAGAAAAGAGGAGGAAGAGGCAGAGATAAAGAAGACGCTAGGTGAACAGTTTTTTGTGCACGGCTGTTAGCGGGGGGGGTGGTGCTGATTCTGGGCCTGTGCAGAAATGATGGATGTAGCCACAAAGTCGCTGATTTCTGACTGGGGAAAATCATTGTAGATCATTGGGCTTCAACCTAGCTTTCGGTGTCCTAAAGACTGGGAGTTCAACAAGCTGGCAAGAGGATCTAATTGACATTTACTAAAGATGACTGCTTGGTGGTTACAGGTTGTTTCCTTATTTTCAACCATAGAAACAGGATGATGATCCTAGCATCAGATGGAGGTTGCAGCACTGGAGTAGGCTCTGGTTCCCAGGTTGTGTAACGAGGGGGTCAAGATTTTAGACGTTAGGACTGGATAGGACGAGCTTTGAGGATTTTTAAATCTGTTTAATGTGTTGTTTTGTCTTCCCATTAACAGAGTAGGTGTTTTTGTTGGTACCTCATTTTTTTTACCGCTGAACATGGCGATGTCCTCTCGTGATGCATCCCAGGAAGCTGCGGCTGGAAATGGAGGAACAGCTGAAGGAGAAAAGACAACTCGAGGCCTCCAAGTTTGGGGCCTGAAATTCTGCCAGAAAGTTTGGTGGATGACTGTTTTTTGGAGGGTTTGGACTAGCTACACTTTAAATATGTTTAATATTACTTGGAAATGATCATGATATCCATGACAAGGGAATCCCACGTTAGCTGTTTGGCATGTTTTTATTGGATTTTGACTGCTCAATTGAATGGCGGTGTTCATTTTGTGTATTCAATCACATGTGGGGATTGTTTTTTTCACCGCCACCTAGAATAGGGTCAGATTTAGGCGATGCAGCGAGTTTTCACTGTAGTTTGACCAGCTTGGATTCACTGGGTGACTTATAATTGACTCTAATACAACTAGGATACAAGGGGTTTGTTTTTGCAAATGTGGTTAAAACAATGCCAGAAACCATTTCCCAGTCATCACCATTTTTAGAGGTCCTATGTTTACCATTCCCAGTCATGGGTGATTTATGGCATTCTTTTAAATACATTCTTAATCATCACCATTAATAACCATTAATCACCATATATAACCATTAATAACCATTAAATACATTAGTTCCAAGCATTTTTCTTTTTCAAATCCGAAAAGGCTTCACCATCCCCGGACCATCCCGGAGCGTTGTTGAGGACATGGAGCGCGCCCGCGAAAAGCAAATTCGTGCGGCTCGGGCCAACGAGATCTTCGACGAACAAATCGCTCAGCACGTGCCGTGGAGAGAGCTGGGAAGGGAACATTGGAGTTTGGCAGGGAATACAGTTCCGATCTATGTATTATATATATATATATATTTATAGTTATATCTATATAGAGTTATATATATATATATTATACATATATAGTTGAATACAGTTGCATAAGTTACATACGTGTATGTGAAGCCATGTGAAACCATGTGAAGCCATACCAGACCATTTGTGGGCGCCACCGGCTTGGCTGATTGTTGCCACTTGGTGAACAATTCATCCAATATCTGCATGGGTTACCGGTCAGCTTGGCCGATTTTCAGCCAACTGGAGTGATATGGAGTCGGATATCCACGTGATACGTAAACACTGTAGCATATACTTACAAACCAACTTGCCTATCGTTTGGGGTCCCCTTCTTGTGGTACATCCCCCATTTTGACCCAAGTATGTAATGGATCCAGAAATTATAGATTGATTTGTCTGAAAATATGGTATCCCAACATATGGTTTATCCTCATTTTCTTTAAAAGAAACATGTGGTAGATCCTTCATTTCGAGACAAATCAAGATGACTCAAGACTGGCTAAGACTTATGAGATGGTTCAATCTGTTGATATTAACCATTGTTTTGATTGGCTCCATATTCATGAGAAAGTCAGGGCGGCAGGGATGTTTAATATCAATATTCAATCATCATATCCATCAATCATCGTGACGTCCCTGCAATGATGCTGGAAAAAGCCGGGACTCATCTCCTCTATCGGTCTGAAAAATCAATTAAGGGTGGTTGATGGAAAGAATCTTACCGGAAACAATTGCGTTTTTTTCCCACCACATCTTAGAGTTTTCTGTAGATGTTCTCTGATGTCTATAAATCGGGTACCTCTAATCCAAACGGATTCCTATCATTTTTGCAATTAAAATAAATAACTCTTGAATTGGGGGTATACCCCATGTTCACAAACATAGACAAAGCCAAATAAACAAGAAATATATACGTACTAGTACTAGTGTTAAAACATCGTAGACAAACATAGACAAAACCAAGTATCCTGACATATCTTGACATATATCAGGATCATATCCATTTCTATCCCATTGTTTCACCCGATTTTTTCATGAGTTACCTGTAAAATTTTCTTTTCCCAGGTCGGGGTGGACCGGCAGCAGTTTGAT